TCCCTTCCGACCCTAAATCTATGAAACTATGAAACACCAGTGCAGCTCCCACAAGAAAACTCCTCATATCCTAGAGTCTCACTTCATGTACTTTCATGAAAAGTTGTTCCTAGTATAAGGCAAAGCAGACATTCAAAGGCTAGGCCCTTTTTAAAGACAGGTTCACAAAACATCCCCAATAACATGTCCCTGATAACTGTCATTTAAGGAAAGTCATTTTGGTGGGGTTAAAAGCCCCCTGAAAGGCTCTGACCTTCTTCCACCCAACCTATGGTGAGATGCTCTACTTCCTCTCCCAGATGTTGGGTACACTTACAGGAAACGCTCAGCAGCCTTCCTGTTAGGGTGGCCATCATAGAGGACAGTCCGATTGTCCTGTGTCCTCTATTGATACAAACCCGGACACCTTTACATCCTCTATTTTTCCCCTGAAGAGAAAAATAGAGGACAAAGGCATCGGGTTTTGTAACAACAGAGGACAGAGGACAACGGGACCATCCTCTATGATGGCCACCCTATTTCCCATCAATGATCAACATCTCTACTCTTCAATCTTCCAGTCGCAGGCAGTCCACTCAGGTGGTAACAATTTGTCTTTACAATCAAAGGCACAAATCCTATTCTGCACCTAAGTCACCTTAAGACTTAGCTGCTTTCACCTCAAACTTACATTCCAAGGCTCAAGAGAATCTTATTCCACCTCTAAAGCACCAGTTTCCTACTCTCTCAACCAGCAGCCTACAGTCACTGATCCTATTCTGCCCTGAGGAGGCACAAAACTCCCCCATCCTGTTGAAGTGCAGTCTTATGTACCTACAGAGCACACATGCACTGAGCAGGGAGTTGCCAACAGGAAACACCAGGCAAAATAGCATATGCCCGACTTAATGGCAAATCATTATGCACCTCCATTATGTCACAATATAGCTGCTCCAGTTGTAGGGAAGAGAAGGGATGATTTAGCCATATTTTGCCCAAAAGTCTAATGGTTAAGTTACTTGCTCAAGACTGAAAGACTTGGTTCCATGTCCATCTCACCCTAAGTTGATTTAAAACCACATCTCTCACTTCCCAGGAGAGGGCCTAACCACAGGTCCGAAACCATCTTCCACTTCTCTTGTGAAACTGGACCACTGAGCTGCCTAGACTGCAAGAAGTCAGGGCCAGAAAGAAAGCAAGGCTACAGAGTCAGGCTCCCTCTGACAAGTGAGGAGGAAACTGGAAGCCCTGGCTTCTGGCCCTTGCTTCCAATACCATTTGTGTATTTCACATTAAAACAGCCACTTGATAAAATGAAAGTCTCTCAACCGTCCAGTGGTGTTGTATTAAATACACCTGAACGAGCCATCATTACTTATGATCACCAGCCTCACGGAGCACTATTTCACCCATAATGACCTGTCGACAGTTTGAAGATGGCATTGGCTATTTAAAGAAAGAAAGGAAAAGACAGAAACAGAGGAATCACAGGATAGCAAGAAAGGAATCATGGGATTTTTGGAGTTTGATTGCCCTACCACTCCACACATGCATGTACGATATGCAATAGCTATGACTTCTGCTAGCTAGCTTCTGCTAGGTGTCCCCAATGCACTGGCAAGCACATAATTCAGTGGAAGTCCCTGCCACATGGAAGCAATATCTCTTAGCAAAGTGAAAGGCCACTCTCCACTTAGATGCGTACCATTTACTGTACAGCATGTCACTCAGAAGTAAAACTCCCTTATCGAGACAAGCCCTATATTCTCATTGACAGAGATCAGACCTCCCTCTGGCTAGAATTAAATGCTAGTCTTTGTTCTTACCAGGAGGTGAAAAATTTAAGACTCAAAACAAACGACCCAATTTTGTCTTCACTAAGACTTCTTAGTGAAGTTCACAGGAGTGGCACCTCTGCCTGTGAAAAAAAGAATGCATCGAACTCGACCCCAAGACACACAAGCAAAGAGCTTGTGGTTTAGTTTTCCAAGGTTAGAGCATCTATAGCTCCCACACACCTGAAACAAGGGCTCAACACTTCTGAAAATTTGGCTAGATATCTCAAACTGGGCACCCAGGAACAAGGGAAACAAAACCACCTTTTCACAGCTGACCAATAGTGAAGTTATTTGCCCAGCAACACACAGGAAGTCTCCGGTGGGAATACAGATTTAGCTGTCTCAGTGTAGATGCCCGTTTGAAATATTGGCATCAGTATTATCCACAGACTTGGTGTGCTGGTTATTTTTCAAGGCATACGACACCTGGCATAAAATGATACTTTCCAAAATAAAGCAAAATGTAACAGAAGAAATTAATTGTACCTTTATGTAAGAAAGATATTGAGTATGTGACTTCTTCAGGAATATCTGGAGCCTGACTATAACACACACACAAACTGCCTGAAAAAGAGAAATGAAAGAAACGTTTGTTGTACTATCATATTTGTCCACAGATAAAATACAGCTGGGCCTTTATATTTCTCTGAAGGAGGTGACAAACAACAGAGCCCAATCATAAAAATGCTTAGAGATACGTAACAGAATCACTCAAAATAATTTTCCGAATTACGGAAATATGTACAGAAGGTAACAGCTAAACACAACACTTATTGAGAGAGAGGAAGAGGGGAAAAAAGTGGATTCTGCAAGGAGAAAGCTGAGGGACCAAAGGCTGCAAAGAATGGTGACGTGATTTTGGGTTCTGAGGACTTGGCCTAGCCGTCTCTTTCTGGGCACTGCATTGCTCCCGTTTCCTTGTAGAGGAGCTCTGGAGCAGCTTTGTGGACTAGACCTCAGTACCCACAGTCTACATCAATTTCTAGAGATTTTTAATCGAGGGCTGCCAAGACTAGACGTATCATTTCAATGTTCAAAACAGAACAGTAGAAGGTGAAAATGTATTAAAAATATACTGCCATTCTGCCAAGGTATAACTGCCCTGTACGGTGTATTTGGTAACACTGCATTCTTGCACTACGGAGAGATTCTCCCTCCCCCTCTTTACAAAGCACGTTGTTTCCCTTCCAGGACAGAAATGTGTCTTTAAATCACAAGCATGCTTCTGTCATAGAACTTTGTGGGGGATTAGTCAGGTAAAACACACTTTGATAACTTTATTCCCTCTTCCCAATCTCAAATGAGACTGATTTGATCACATCTGATACTTCACTTTCTCCCGACCTCTAATTAAAAAACACCCACAACTTAGTCCTTACTCAATCACATTGGCCAGCTGCTTTTGGAGTCCATGCTAGAAGCAACCCAAAATCCATCCTAACCCATTTAAACCAGGGAAGATGGGCAAGTATCAATATGATCGTAACCACAGATCCTGGTTTCCTCTGTTTAAGAACTACAAATGATGATTAAAACCTCCAAAATCCACATTTTACAATGATTAAAATGAAATGCTACTATATGTATAGGTACCAGTTGAACACAATATTTTATTGATATATTTACAATTTTATGGAAATGTGGAAGACTACCAGTGCCTCAATCATTACAATAAAATAAATTCTAAATACCTATAAATTTTGGTGTTTGATTTTGATTTTTTTTTTTTAATCATAGAAAAATCAGAGCTCCCCCTGCCCCTTTTGCTCACCAGGATGTGGGTTCAGCTGCAGCTTTGCCCCCTCACTGCTTCACGGAGGTGAGCAGCCCTGATATGCCAGTGCTCTGCCCCTGCCATTGCCCCTCATTCCCAAGCCACAACCCTCCCAACCCTGCTGGTGCCCCTCACTCCCCACCCACAACCCCCCGCCAGGACAGGAAGGATGTGGACAAGTTGGACTAGATGACCTCCTGAGGTCCCTTCCAACCCTTGTTTTAGAATTACAGAATAAAATCATAGAAAAATAAGGGTTGGGAGGGACCTCAGGAGGTCATCTAGTCCAACCCCTGCTCAGGGCAGGACCACCCCCAACTAGATCATCCCAGACAAAGCTTTGTCCAGCTGGGTCTCAGAAACCTCCAAGGATGGAGATTCCACAACCTCTCTGGGTAACCTGTTCCAGTGCTTTACTACCCTCTTAGTAAGAAAATCCTTCCTAATATGCAACGTAAACTTCCCTTGCTGCAACTTGAGACTGGTGCTCCTTGTTCTCTATATTTAGACACATGAACACCAAGCTAGAAGTCCCAAAGAGACTTAGGTGAGAAGATGCTCACCCCTACCAAGATGAATGCAGTTAGGCACCTGAAGTTGTGCTACTGCACAACTTGGATTCCTAGTTCTGCTCAAGTTCTCTTGTGAACCTGGACTTCAGTAGCTAAAACATGTATTAGTTTATCAGGGGTGACCTATAAGTTTATCGGGGTGACCACCAGGATCTGGGGGAACGTTTGTTCACCAGAGCACCCCAAGGGATGACGAGGTCGAACAGTCAAAACTACTACAAGACCGTTTCAGGCTAGACATAAGGAAGAATTTCTTTACTGTTCCAGCTCTTGGGGGCTCGGACAGTCTGCCACTGGAGGTGGGTCAAGCACCTACATTGAACACCTTCAGGAGTAAATTAGATTCTTATCTTGCTAGGATCCTATTAGCCCAGCTGACTTCCTGCCTTTTGGGCAGGGGACTGGACTTGATGATCTTCCGAGGTCCCTTCCAGCCCTAATGTCTATGAAACATGTTGTTAATAGAAGGATACTGGTGTCTAAAGTGCACATACATATATCCAATCTATTGTAGAATGCAAATAGATGCACAGTGTACTTATCTAAAGCACAAGTACCAAAAAACCAAGAGAATGCACTTTGTTAAATGCTTAGTATCTCAGACTACAAAGCTACACCACAGTTTTGCACTAGTAATGCTCCTGATTTGGCCAATGCATTTTTTCCTTTCAAGGGAAAAAAACATTTCCTCTGTGCTGAAGTTCTTTATGTTTGTTACCAAAACACTACATATTCTAGGAAAGAATGACAGAATTATGCTTGGGTATTTGGGTTTCTGAAACAGACAGACAGGTTATCTATCCCACAGCATTTAGTCCCTTACATACAGAGCATGTAGAAAATCTGAAGTAGTAGCATCAGGGCTCAGCAGGAAAGCAACAACTCTATGATGCTGCTTTTATTGCAGGGGAGGCCCCCCATACTACCCATTTCATTTTCATATGCTGCAGGGCACTAAGTACCCTAAGATACTTTGTCCTACAAATTCACAATTTGCATTTAATATACAAACTACTAATCTCCTATTCAGGCTGATCCAGTGTAATCACAGCAGACAGCATGCCCCTGGTCACTATCAGAAGACTAGATGTGCTTTCCTCTCTCTCAGTTACTGGTCCAGCCCAGCTCAGCAGCAAACCAAGGATGCCATCAAACAGCCTAGGTAAAGAAATCTGGCAGCCTCAGTCCAGTTCTTTGTGAACAGGTATGCGTATAACAGAGTAACAGCTGTGACAACTCATGTGAGCAGGCCCAGCAGAGCAGACAAAGTTATGAAATTAACCTGCTCTCTTCACTGAAGGGGTGATCCCTGTACAGTGGCAAGTGGCACAGTGTCCAGCTACCGCCCAAGTTATAACTGTACCAGCACACTGGCAGGAAAAGTGTTGCAGCATCCCAGTTGGTCCAATAAAAGGTATCATTTTGGAGCCAAGAGTTCTAGTTTTTTGTATGTATTTTTGTCTCAGACCAAGTACACCCCTGAAACATGGAAGATGCTGAATTTTAGCTGATTTGGGATTTTAAGCTTCACTGCAGAACAACAAGGAAGATTTTTACCTCCCTGCCTGCCATCTGACACCTCTAGGAAAGGAATTCTACCTGATCAACAGATCACAATTTTCTTGTGATTTCCCAGTTGGTCTGATAAAAGGTATCATTTTGGAACCAAGAGTTTTAGTTTTTTGTACGATAGAAAAGGAAGCATTTAAAAATAAAGTTCTGTTTATGCAATATTACAATCACATTTTGCACTCAAAACAACGCAGGAAACAGTAACTATAACTCTCGGATTTGGCAAATATATATTAAGACACTGAAAATGCAATAGGGAGAGTAATGGAATACCATATATGCATAAAGAGCTTAAGTTACATTTCCTAGGAAGCTGTAATTTTGCATTTCCATGGCAGCAATGAAGAGAAGCGCTGTCTGGAGGTACCTGGGATGGAGGCAAACTGTGCGTGCTAGCCCCTGACACAGCTAGGAAAGATGAGGGATAGGAGCTGATTAAGATCCAGTCATTTTGTTATAGCCAGGTGGGCTTGTATTTGATGTTTTGGATTCAGTTTGGTTCGGTGCCTGGCGGGGGGACCAAGAGGGACTAGATACTGAGAGAAGACCTGGCAGTCTGGGGGAGACTTAAGGGGTGGCTTGGAGGTCTCAAAAGCACCTGAGGCAGCCACACCTAATACACCCGGGGGGTGATCTTACAGAGTCCATGAGGGGTGATCCCAGAGCACCTTTGGGGGGGGGGTGCACCTAGCACACCCCAAGGGGAAACCTCACAGAGTCCGTAAGGGGCAATCATCATGCCCGAGAGAGGTGAGGCAGAACTTGAAACAGATAGGCCTCAGAACTGGGGTCAGGAGGGGCAAGATTTAGACTCAGGGCATCAGAGGGCACGGAGCAGGACAGAGACAGGGCCTGGAGCCCA